GGTGGCTCAGTCGTTAAGCGTCTGCCTTCGGCTCAGGTCATGATCCCAGGGTCCTGGGATCAAGCCCCGCATCGGGCTCCCTGCTCAGCAGGGAGCCTGCTTCTTCTCCCACTCCCCCTGCTTGTATTCCCTCTCTCGCTGTGTCTCTCTCTGTCAAATAAATAAAATCTTTAAAAAATATATATATACAAATTTGAAAGCCTTCACTGACAAGCCTTAAAGATTATGAAATTAGTGTAGGGAAAGGGAAGACTAGAATGGGGGAGAGGGAGGTAGAGGTACTTCCAAGGACGAAAGGTAAGGACTAAGTGCGGTGGGCACAGAAATGGACAGGATGTTTGTTTTCCTGTTAAAGCTTAAGACTGCAACTTTATGTTGCCAACAAAAACAGGGAAAAGAAATAAGAAAAAACAAGAAATTAACCTCAAATATTCCATACAATACTACAAATAAAGCACTTACTGAATTTACAATTTCAACTAACCTATGAAGGTAGTTAATGTTGTATAGCATCTTAAACTATTGTCATCAATATTTAGCAGTTAAGATATAGAGTGGCAGAATAACAAATTCCATGACACTGATCTGAATATTGTCAATGTTTTACAACAACTGCTAAAGCATAATGTGAAGCAGCTTCTTAAAAAAAAAAAAAAAAGCAATCACACGGTCGTTAACGTCTATATTTACCTGTTTGGCTTCTGTCTGAGCTTTACTTATGTCATTCTTACAGGCCATCATTTGACCAGCAAGAGTTGCTTCGGCCCCGTCGTCACTGCTAGACAGGCCGGCGGAAACAGCGTTGAAGTGCTGCTGTGCAGCAGCCAAAGCTTCAGCATCTTTGTTACCTGCTTCCTGAAGGGCGTTCAGCCCATCTGTTATCTTTTTAACCTCTTTTTCCTTTGCGGCTAAAGTTCTAGAATCCTTCAGAAAGAGTTTAAGATTGGAAAGTATTAGGTTTTAGGAAAGACATCCATTTTTTCCTATACACCTATACCTTTAGGTCATCAAATTTCATAGCATTTTGAAGTGGACATGGTTAAAAGGAAAATAATTTAACCATCATAACTTTAAATACTTTATTTCCATTTTGAAATTCACCCTGTTTTTCAGATAAACGTGCCCTTATACTACCAGAAATACTTTCATTCCATATGTTACAGTCTAATCTAGAAATTAGCTAAAATATTATAGTGCAAACCAACCATTTGAAGAAACTAAAAATCACTTTCTAGAGCTTTAAAATTGAATAACCATTCTACTCTAAGCTTCAAAGTAGAGACTGTAGGATTAGGAGCGTGTACACGAAAATTTATAAACTATCAAAGGCCATAAAATTTAAATATTAAATACTTATGGGAACAGCATTACTAATACTTAACATCTTTTAAGTTATATGCACTATAACACCATATATACTAAGATACCAGCACTGGAAAAAAATAGAATCCAGCTATATTATTTACATGAAAGTGACCAGAAATTTTGGCCCACATGTTTAACTCATGATTCATTAAATATTTATTAGATGTTTACCATGTACCAGGCATTGTTCTAGACATTAAAGACATGGTCCTCAGGGACCCAATATTCTAGAATGGAAGACAGAGGAAAAAATAAAGCAAGGTAAAGGGACGGAAAGTGATGGAAACTACTATTTTAAGAACAATGAGGGAAGGCCTTTTTGTGGTGACATTTTGAGAAGAACCTACATGAAATAAAAGGAATGATCATGCTGATACTAGGGGGACAAATAATAGGCAAACTCCGCAGAACATGCTTAGGTGTTTGAGGAACTGTGGTTGGAGCACAGTGAGCAAGTGGAAAGGAGCCAGGAGTCCTATCAGGTAGGGATGGTAAAGGCTCAATTATACATGTGACTTTGAAACCATTAAGGAATTTTAAGTACAAGAGTGATGTGATCCAATTTATATTTCAGCTTCTGTAAAGAGCTGACTGTAGAGCAGCAAGAGTAAAAGCAGGATAACGGATATGGACACTATTATAGCATCCCTCATGGGTGATGATGGCTTGCAGGTTAGCAGTGATGGAGGTGATGAAAAGTGGCTGTATTCAGGATGTACTTTTAAAGTCAAGAGAGTTTGCTGATGGATTAGATATGGAGTTTGAGAAAAAAGGTGGAATGCAGGAAGACTCCAGGATTTCTGGACTGAACAATTAGGTTAATAGTGGTGCCTGGTACCCTTTTCTAACATAGGGAAAATTCAGCTACTAAAAGAGGTTTGGGGGGCGCATGGGTGGCTCAGTAGTTAAGTGTCTGCCTTCGATCCTGGGATCGAGCCCCACATTGGGATCCCTGCTTGGCGGGAAGCCTGCTTCTCCCTCTCCCACTCCTCCTGCTTGTGTTCCTGCTCTCGCTATCTGTCAAATAAATAAATAAAATCTTTAAAAAAAATAAAATAAAAGAGGTTTGAGTAGGCAGGGAATATTTAAGAGTTCTCTTTTTGATACATTAAGTTTTAGACTTTTTGTTAATCATGTATGTAAAAACATCAATCCAATAGCTGGACAAATATTCAGGGAAGGAGTCAAGGTTAATTATAGATCTGAACATCACCCTGCAGATGGTATTTTAGGGCTACCAGGCTGGATGGGATTACCTAAGAAATGAGTGCATATAAAAGAAGCCTTTTTGTGGTTTGTCTATCTAGACTGGATTCAATATTCCCATATTCAACTACCTAATCAACATCTCTACTTAGATGTTTAACAGGCACCTCAAGCCTATTATGTTCACACTGTACTTCTTTCTATTCTCTACTAAGCTAATGGTAACAATATTTCCAATTGTCAAAGACAAAAATCCACTGCTATATTCCTAGCCCAAACTATACTTGGTCCATAGCACACACTCAATAAATATTAATGTAACAGACAAATGTATACTAGTGGAATTAAACTGAACTTCATATTTACTTACCTCAATCATATTTTTCTCTAGCTCTTTGCGTTTGTTCTCTTCACTTGCCAGATTTTTCTTCTTGAGATCAAAGGCACTTTGAGATTTAGTATTAACTCGCTGAGCTTCTGCAAGAGCATCTTCTAAAGATCGGAGTATACCTCCAATTTCCTATAATCAAATGCACCCAATTCAATCAACGTACTTATAATTTACTCATGTCATCATCTTCTTGTATGACTTCTAGAAGATTTACTTTTTATAAGCTATTTATTATCATACATTAAGATTAACAAATCAATATGGAAGACCATGCCCAGTGAATATTAGTTATTGTATATAACTTTTTCACAGTATATTATCTATTCTTACGTATATATCTGACCTTATCTTTTCCTTTTTCCAACTCTTCTATTTCATGACTAAGTGCTTTTATTTTTTTATCATTCTCAGACAATTTTTCTTGAAGCTTTACAACTTTATCTTGCATTTCTTTTAACTCCTCGGCTGAGCGTTCTTTTGTATCTTCAGCCAGCAAAAACTGATAGGCAATATATAAACGACTCAAATGTTCTATTTCCCTCATTACTTTTTGGTACTCCAAGTAGGAAGATCTTTCCTAGAAAAGAAATCACCAATAAAGTATAACTCAAACTTCGTATTTTTCAACAAATTTAGAAAGACTCAAACTATAGCAACATGTATAAAATTTCCCATCACATAATAGATTTTGTCTTAGATTAGTGATCATGGATTATAGAAACTTTAACATTAGACCTCTGGCTTTTCAGACAGAATTATACCATCTCCAGTGAATCCCATGTGGCTATTTCTTCCAATATATAATCAGGGCAGTTGGGATTAACAAAGAAATGTAGACATAAGGTTCATAAACTGGGGTTAGTAAGTAGTCTATAAATATGACCTATACAACCACCAATGATATACTATTACACGTATTTTGTAGTAGTATTACCAAGATGCCTACCCAACATTCAATCATGTAACTACTTACAAACATATGCTCACACATTACTAAACTTGATTCCAATAAGGACCTGCTAGGGCAAACAGAATAATAATTAAAATCTTGAACTTGCAGAAGAAATGAATTCAGTGTGGTTAAATGACCTCTCCATGTTGTCAGATTTAGAAAGAATTTGGCAAAATCAGGTATAAAACCTAGGTTTAAACTCATGATCTAGTGTTTTCTACTAACTGTTCATATAAACAGGATACCTTCAAGATCACTTTTCAGTTTTTCTAATAACATCCACACTATTATATGGATTCAGAAGACAACTTTTGAGAAGTATCGAATTTTAATGAGCATTTAATGAATTCCTAAATGAGTAACTTTAAAATCAATGCGCTCTAAGTGCATTTTTTCACTGAAACATTGATGTCAGAAGCTACAAAGATTATAGAAAAAATCTGGACATCTGTTTCAGTACCCCTCACATACCAACTGTCTTGACAGCAGTAATTGCAGTGATAGCCCTATTATCCTAGAAGTTATTCACTCTACCAACAGGGTTACTAGGACTGTGATATCCTCAAGAAATAGTTCACTAATTCCAATTATCCAGGAAAATTCAGACTTCTCTTCAACAAAGTATTACAATCTGGCATATCATTTTCTGAGATTATGAAGAGCAATGATTAATAGATATGAAGAACATGCCCTCTACAAGCAGAAGGCTGATTATCAAGTACCAACTCTTAACTCCTATCTCTCCCACAGAAAAATTCCTGAGACGTGGTATACATTTCATCTCTATTTGTATAATCTTGAATATGTCACCATTTTTGAGAGATGTTCTAGCTGGCTATCCTCTATATAGTATATACCTCTTTTAATTTTTGAATGGTTGGAGTAATCTCTTCTTCAAGTATCTGGAAAATAAAGGAAAATCAAATTTTTCAGTATGAAAGTACCATTAAAAAAAACTGAAAAGGAAAGGAAGCATGAAGTCCAAGGAAAACTAGGGAGGGGGAACTTCCTCTTTACAGCAGAGAAACTCTGAAATTACTCTCGTCTTTAAAAACGTTTTATGTAAATTTAATTACCGTCTTAATTTCTTTCAGCTTAGCCTCTTTTTTTTCTATAGTTTTCTGGGCAGCTATTTTTTTGTACTCATACATCCTGGTTCCAGCTGCTTCTTCTATCATGGACAAAATCTGGAAAGACAATTATATTAATGTTTTTAGAATCCAAGATAAAGAACTTCATTGGAGGTTACAAAAAGTATATAATTTAAGGTCTTAACTTCACTAAGCATTTTACCAAAGTATCCCAAATGGATCAGAGATGTTAAGTGCATGTATTACCCATAGCCCTAACATTCAAGAAATATTTCTGACCTTTACTCCAATCCTAAAATCAAACTGCATGCTACACTGAGGTTGCAGAGTAAATCTCTTTTAAAATTGAAGCCAGGGGTGTCTGACTGGCTCAGTCAGCTGAGCATGTGACTCTTGATTTTGGGGTTGTGGGTTTGAGCCCCATGTTGGATATACAAATTACCTAAAAATAAACATTTAAAAATAAAAATAAAATTGAAGCCAGTAATTCCTCCCTCCTCTTTTCCTTCATATATAAGTCTAAAAAAGTAAAGACTAACAACACTCAGTTGTCACTTTAGAAATTCCTAATTTTTTGTGCCAGTTTTTTCATCCACAGGGTACTTAACATCTCACAACACTATTAAGAATTACACAAAGTAATTCATGTGAAAAGCACTCTGAAAAAGGCAAACACTAATCAATTATGTTTTAAAAGTAGAACAATTTTACCAGCACTCCTTTTTCAGAAGCTTCTACTCACCATCAATCCTTATCTCAAGAGGATTATTTCTCTCAAAACCATTTTGATTTCTATGTATTTGACAGGTTTCAAATTAGAAGTTTCCCTTAAGATGTTATCTAAAGAAGATATGCATGACCTATGTTCAAACCAGACTGGTGTTATCAATTATCAGTTTTTTCTTCTTAGTTCTTCTCAATAGAAAAGAGTAACTATAGAGACTTTGTTCTTATACAAAACATTCATTCCTTCATACCAACTCTTTTCAAGGGGGCTCCAAGAAAAAAATTAAAATTAAGTCTTAATACCCTATGCCCTAAGCAATCCACTGTATTCAATGAATTAATTTCACTCAAATCTTCTTCTGTAGGGTTTTTTTTTTTTAAAGATTTTATTTATTTATTTGAGAGAGAATGAGAGACAGAGAGCACGAGAGGGAAGAGGGTCAGAGGGAGAAGCAGACCCCCCGCTGAGCAGGGAGCCTGATGCGGGACTCAATCCCGGGACTCCAGGATCATGACCTGAGCCAAAGGCAGTCGCTCAACCAACTGAGCCACCCAGGCGCCCCTTCTGTAGGGTTTAACTCTGACACAGAACACTGGTTGAGAAAGGCTGCTTGATACAGTCAAATTTCTTTTAATATTGGGCACATAAAACTCTTAGAAGAAAACACAGGAGGTTAAGCTCCTTGACATCGGTCATGGTGGGGATTTTTTTGGATTTAACACCAAAGCAAAGGCAACAAAGGCAAAAATAAACAAGTGGGATTATATCAAGCTGAAAACCGACACAACAAAGGAAACCAAAAACAAAATGAAAAGGCAACCTACGGAACGGGAGAAAATAGTTGTAAGTCATGAATCTGCTAAGGGGTTAATATCCAAATACATAAGGAACATGTGTATGGGAACAAACATTTTTCACAAAAAACATACAGATGGCCAATATGTATATAGATGGTACTCAACATCACTAATCATCTGGGAAATTCAAATTAAAACCATGAGCTACTACTTCTGTCAGAATGGCTATTATCACAAAGACAAGAAAAAACAAGCGTTGGTGAGGCTGTGGAGAAAAGGGAAACCTTATGTACTGTTGGTAGGAATGTAAATTGGGTGCAGCCATTATCGAAAACTATGAAGGTTCCTCAAAAAATTAAAAATAGAACTACTATATAATCCAACAATTCCACTTCTGGATATTTAGCCAAAGAATACAAAGACACTAACTTGAAAAGGTATCTGCAACCTCATTTATAATACCAAGACATGGAAACAAAGTGTCCACTGACAGATGAATGGATAAAAAAAATGTGATATGTATATACACAATGGAATATCATTCAGTTATTTAAAAAAATACAATCTTGCCATTTGTGACAACATGGATGGAACTTGAGGGCATTATGCTAAGTGAAATAAGTCAGACAGAGAAAGACAAATACTGTATAATCTTACTTGTATGTGGAATCTAAAAAGAAAAAAAGAAAAACCTGAGCTCAGAGAGAACATATTAGTGGTTGCCAGAGATGGGGGTTAGTGGGTGGGCAATATGGGTACAGGTGATCAAAGCTACAACCTTCAGTTACAAAAGTCCTGGGGATATAATATATAGCATGGTGACTATAGTTAATACTGTATTGTATATCTGAAAGTTGCTAAGAGAGTAAATCTTAAAGTTCTCATAAGAAAAAGAAAATTCTGGGGCGCCTGGGTGGCTCAGTCGTTAAGCATCTGCCTTCGGCTCAGGTCGTGATCCCAGGGTCCTGGGATCGAGCCCCGCATTGGGCTCCCTGCTCAGTGGGGAGCCTGCTTCTCCCTCTCCCACTCCCCCTGCTTGTGTTCCTGCTCTCACTCTCTCTCTGTCAAATAAATAAATAAATAAAATCTTTAAAAAAGAAAATTTTAATTGTGGTGATGGCTGTTAAATGGCTTATAAGGATCATTTTGCAATGACGACATATATTTAATCACTATGCTGCACACTTGAAACTAGTATATCACTTATACCTACATTAAAAAATATCTGCTCAACAATGACCCGTGGCTTTTCTTAAACATTCTCATTTAATCCTCAAAATACCTGAGGTAAGGACTTTTGACTCTAATCTACAGATGAGGAAACACAGGCTCAGAAGGGTTATGTTATACAGCTTTAAAAAGGTGGGGTGACACAGTGCCAAATAGTAAAAAACAAACAAAAAACCAAAAAATGACTTTCTTTACTAATCACTTAGTAATGTTTCCAAGAATTTTAATGGAAGAAATTATGCTTAAAAAATTGATTTAAAAGATTAAAAACAATATCTACAATTATAATTTTTACTGTCCACAAATAGTATCCTTACCTCTGGAGGTTTCATATTCAATACTTTTGTAATTCGGCCCTGAAAAATAAAATGGCAGTTACTATAATGATAGAGTCATATAGGCATACATGTTTATCTGCCCTGAAGTTGTTCCATCCTAATATACAAATCTTTTGGGAGTTCTTTTACCTACATTACATTTGAGACCAAAGGTACCTTATAATTCCAGAAATTTGCTATTTACCTTTTCACTTACCAGTGACATAGTTATTAAATAATACAAAGTTAACTCAGACCATATTTCTGAAACAATAATGACATAGAAGTCTCCAGCAAGTATATAAATATATAAATGTTGGCATAACTGTTGAACACTTCTTGTTTTTTTTTTAATGGCTGTGCTCCAAGATAATTTCTAGAAATACACTGCACACTTCTGGGCCTCAAATAAAAGAGTAAAATCTTTTAGTTCAATGCCAGCATATCACTATCAAAAATAAAACAAAACCCTACTAACCCAACTCTCGGGGCATCATATTACTTAGGATTTAGATTCATTTGAAATCAATTTTCAGCGTTGAGGCTGTGATGTGGTAAAAATAACGTTATTTTGGTTGCATTAGGATCCTGCCATTGGCCTTGCTGTGATTTTCTAGGAGGACAGATGGATGGGTCAAGTGAGGTAATATAAGGGCAAGACAATATTAGCACTTATTTTTCATTTGAATAAGTTTCTAAGGAAGAAAATTACTTAAAATTTAGTATATATTTGAAATAATGAAATGCTTGAATCCAGTACTTTAAAAGGATACATTATGACAATATATTTTTAAAAATTTTTACAGTGACCGTGTATTATTCTTGCAATAACAAAATAAGTCAAGGAAAATTACTTCTAGACATTCTTCAAATGTGTATCTTAGAACATATCAGTACATATAAACCTATACTCTTAACAGGTACCCAAATACCAGTACAATAGAAAACCCAAAAAGAAGCACTTCTCCTATTATAATAACTTAAAAAATAAATGATGTCAAAACCATTATATAAAGACCATAAATAAAATACCTGCATGATGAGAAAGTGAGGGTTGTTAACATTAAGGCCAACAGAACAGAAGAGATCTTGTACTCTGGTATTGTTTGCATTTACTCCATTGATTAAATATTTATTTCTACCACCAATAACCACCTAAAAGGGAAGTATTTTAAAATATATAAATGAACATACACATCTTGAACTAAGATGATAAATTCCCAAATATGTTTCACTTGTTTGTTCTGTCCAACTAATGGTAAATAAAACCAATCCTGAGTAAATAATGGAGGAAGTGTGAGATGGTCAACAAGAATATAGACGTCAATTGTCCTGACTCAATCCAAAGACTTTTGCTAACTAGTTATATAACCATGCACAATCCTCCTAACCTCCCCTGCATTGGACTAGATCTCTAAGGTCACTTTTGACTTTGTTTCCAAGCATGTGTAAAACATATTCTAACCCTGATCACTCTTTCTGCAATTTTTCCACGCTCAGAAGTTAACCCCTCTTTCCTCGTTTTAATTTCCAAAGAACAGAAGTCAGATACTAAAAACTAAAGACAAGCAGTTTTGTTTTGGTTTTTCTCATTTTGTTTTTGTTTTTAAGAGGGAAAGGGAAAGAGAATCTTAAGCAGGTTTCACGCCCTGCGTTAAGAACCACGAGGGGGCTTGATCTCACAACCCCGAGATCATGACCTGAGCTGAAATCAAGAATCAGACGCTTAACCGAATGAGCCACCCAGCTGCCCCAAAGATAAGCAGTTTGATAACAATCCTTGACAAGATTCTAAAAGGGGTTAATAAAGACATGACTTGTGAATTCTTGAAAGAAAAAGAGTAATCATAGAGCCTCAAAGAACTTATACCAGACACCAACTTGTTCAGACTCTACTATTGCACTTCTATTATCACCTAAATAATCATCTCACCCATAGTATTTTGAGGTCCTTAATAAGATGTTACTCATTCTTCTATCTGTATTTCCCAGTGCCTTCAAGAATGCCCAGCACACAGCAAACATTTAATAAAATACTGAATGTTAATTCATTTCTTGACAGGAGTATGAAGCTGATCATATATTAATATATTTGAACAGACCCAATATACATAAATATTTTAACAAAATCCTTATGACAAAATACAGGCATATGGAATGCATGAGGAAAGGATTTTTAGGTAGATTAGTAGCAGATTTACTGAAAATTCCTAAAAGTATTTCATGGATACTTAATGACACACAACAGGATTTTATCCTAGTCAATGCCTTATTTTTTTTTAGCCAGAGGTTTTTATTAAAATAGAAAGGGGATTCATAAGTTACATAATGCTAAGATGGAGAGTAAACAGGACTTAACAGAATTTTTAAAAATAAAACTGACAAAGTAACATTGTATGACTATAAGAAAAAGGGACAGATGTATGGTCCTGCACTGGTTTTAAAAACCTGCATACAGAAATGGCAGTAACATAGCTAATAACACACATTTAAAAAATTAGAGTGATTTTAAGTAAATCAGATATGAATTCATAATGTATTATGAACTCTCCAATGTCATATAGGGGAAAACAGAAGGGCACTTAAATTTAAAGAAATGACAATTCTGCTTAATCCTGTCCTAAGGAGACTATTTCTGGTAAATGCAATTTAAGGTGCCATGCATTAAAAAAAATAAGGGCATAAAAAAACTAGAGCAAGTTTGTATTCAGTGTGATCAGACAAGTGAAGGAAATAGAAACAATTATCAGTTGAAAGACCTAGAGAGATTTAGCTTAAATATTAAATATTTAACACCTAAATATTAAACCTAAATATTAAAATATGGAATACATTAGATTTGCTTTTCGATGCTTTCAAGGAACCAGATTTAATGTGTAAAAGTTGATGACAATACTTCGGCTCATTTTATAGGAATAACTAATTAGACCTGACCAGTAACAGAATATATTACCTCAGAAGATAACAAGATCCCAACTATAGGTATTCCAGCACAGAGAAGATTCAAGTATGGTTCAAGATTTAAGCATGGTTGAGTGTCTACACTGATTGATGGCTTTTCAGATCCCTTTCAATCCTCTTGGTAAATGGTAGAATTTGCACGATCAAATTTTTAACATAAGGAAGACACTCTTAAGAAATCTAGTCAGGGGGTGCCTGAGTGGCTCAGTCGGTTAAACATGTACCTTCAGCTCAGGTCATGATCTCAGGGTCCTGGGATGGAACCCTGCATCGCATCGGGCTCCCTGCTCAGCAGGAAGCCTGCTTCTCCCTCTCCCACTCCCTCTGCTTGTGTTCCCTCTCTCGCTGTCTCTGTCAAATAAATAAATAAAATCTTAAAAAAAAAAAGAAATCTAGTCAGTATTTGATCAATTTTGCTCATAAACTTTCTCTCCACGAAAGTCATATAGCCAAAAACACCTCAGACATAAGTTCTTAGATATCCAGATATTCTGAAACCACTCACCTGCCTTGTTACTGTAATTTCATCATGAACCTCAAATCCTAAAGGGCTTTGCTTTTTGTCAGAATTATCAAATGTGATTGACACTGAGGCTTTGGTTATACCAGCCTGCCCATTTTTGTAAACTAAATCTTGTAAATTAGAAGCCCGAACCTAAAACAAAAGAAAAGTTTATCAATTACAAAACCCCATACTGCACAAAATGGCATTAAAATTGGGTTTCTTGCTGTTGGAAAACCACCCATGTAGTATCCATTAAGTAGCCAAGGACAGACAGTTGCATTCAGAACCAAGAAAAGCAAGGAAAATGGGAAACCACCTAAAATGAGTGCCTTTCTCCACAGGACTTTTCCACCCCTGCATTGAATGGTTTTCCACTCATTTCTTAACTGAAGTTCATTTCAAAGATTTAGGAAGACAGCATCTAAGAATTTCACTGTTCATCCAATTCCTTTAGACCTGAAAAGGCATTATAATGCAGGGTGAGTGGATAGGAATACAGACTCTGGAAGAAGACTGCCTTAAAGAATACCTGACTTTGAGTGTTGCTCCGAACATCTTAAAAGGGATGAACCTTACGCAACACCAAGTTTCTGTTTTCTCACCCGAAAAACGGAGTAATAATATCTACCTCTAAAGGATTGTGGTGAGGTATAAGGTAATTTGCATAAACAAAAATGCAAATGAAGAGAATACTGGCAATAGTCTCTAAGTCCAATGTGGATTCCCCTGAGGGTCCCCAAACTTATAATCCACATAAATCAGAAAGTTTACCTGAGAGAGGTTGGAGATGCCCAGTAAAAAGCAGATGGAGTCCAATATGTTGGATTTCCCACTACCATTTAAACCAGTGATAGCATTGAAGAGGGGGTCAAAACCATTGACTTCAGTCCTCTGAGCATAGGACTTAAATCCTTCAAGGATGATTGACTTAACATGCATTTTCACTACTGACTTGGACAGGTAAACGTCTGCTAGGAATCCAACAGGCCACAAAGCAGCTCTGTATAAAACAGAAATAGATAAGTGGGACAGAAATCTGTAATCATAATGTATGTAAAAGACTAAAACGTAAGAATGACAGCTTAATAGAAAACAGCCACTTGCCGAGCTACTTCCTCTAATGTAAAGACACCTTTTTCCAACTTAATTAATTGGAATTAAACCATTAATTCAACCTGAAGTCAACGACTTACTTTTCTAGGCTTACCTTCCATCTTTATCATACTCTAACAGAAACTGATTATTTCATATCCCACTCCCTTTGTCCATAATGTCCTGCTCCCCAAAAATGACATGACTCGCTCTTTACTACACTCAAGTCCTTGCTCAAACGTAATCTTACTAGGGTCTTTTCTGACTTCCCTATTTAAAAACGCACCTGTCCCCATCCCCTCACTCTGCTTTTTCCTTCATCGTACTTAGGATGACACTAAACAGTATTTACTCGTCTATCCAGACTATCGTAATGCAAGTTCCTGTAGAATCTTTGCCTGCGTCCACCGCTGTATTCCGGAATAGTGCCTGACTCCAGGGCGCCGGGAAAGGGAAGTGCCATCAATATTCACTAAATAGATGAATCCCACATACTCTCCAGCTTGTTTTCACTCTGCCTGTTCCCTAGTCCCACCAGGCCTTTCTATCAACACGTTTGCCCTACTCCAAGGCTGGAAAGGAAGTAGCCACTCTGTCAGGGAACCCATCAGGACTCACTTTAGTTTGAGGGCCCTTCTTGCTAACCCCTCTCTCCCCTGGCACACACAAAAAAACCCTTCCTCCTCTCCAGCCAAGGAATGCCAGACTAGGCCCAACCAGCCGCGCGCACGCACCCGCCTCACCGCTGCGCCAGGCCGCCCCGGCTTGAGGCGCCCTAGAAGCTACTCCTGGTTACAAGAGCAGAAAGCCGGCCCACTCTGCCAGGCTTCGGGCGCTACCAAGAGAAGCCCTCCATAGCGGCTGCAACACTCGCCCCGCGCTCCGCATCAGGACCGGAAATATTTATACCTTTGAATTTCGGCGCGAGCAAAGGACCCCACCTCCACTGCCTATTTCATTGGCCGGTGCCTAGGAGATGCCTGACTTAGAGGTTCCATTTTTCCCTCCTATCGAACAACCAAAGTGACAGGGAGATAGGAAAGAGCGTCACGACATGGGCAGCTCTGGGGATGCGACGGCTGGGGCCTGAGGACTAAAAGAGCAAGTGGCATGTGTTGAACTCAGCATCCGGCACTCCTTGGGCAGCCACGCACCTCAGCCTCGGGGCCTCGCGCCGCGCCGGCCCCGCCCCACCCCAGGCCCCGTAGGCCTCGGGTCCTCCCAGCGGCCCCGCCCTGTCCGGAGTCCCGCGGGCTTGGCGGGGCTTGGTTGTACGGACGCTGTAGCCTTAGAGTCGTGGAGGCAGGGAGGCGGGAATCCTTGTTGCCGGTGTCCTCGTTGTACTTTAGAAGCCTCAGGATTTACCCGATTTGGCTCACATTTATCAAGAATGGGAGGCTACGCTTTGTCCGGGCTGGGGAGGCGCGGAATTTGGGCGGACTGTGGGGCGCGTTCTGGCTCCGCCCCTCCTGGCTCCGGACCCTGGCGGGCTTTTTCATCTCAAATTTCGCAATGGGGAGGGACGTTAGTTTTCGCGGACGCTCCCGGATGCCGTGCTGATCCCAGAGGAGAAATTGTGTGGGGCCGGCAGCGGGAGGTGGACAAATAGGTGCTCCCCTTCCTGCACTTCGATAAAGCAGTGGCAGAACTAACATTTCAGAGAATTTCTTTGGAAACCCGACAGCTAATATTTATTGAGCTTTGTGTGACAGGCTGGGTTCCAAGGGCTTTAAAATCCTGCAACAACTCTGTGATACTGCCCTAACTTGGAGAGGGAAGGGCTGGAAGTAAAGATAGACCATAGGGTAAATGTAAAAATAAAACACTGTTCTTGTTTCATCACCATGGATCAAAATCTTTTGAAAGGTTCAAGATTGACAGGCCGGGGGAGTTTTAGTCCTTATGTACAAGGCGGGCAGCACCAACAAAGGCACTGATAAAGCCATAAGGGGGACCTAGGAAAAAGATTTGGTCTACTCTTCCAGGACACGGAAGGACAGCCTTTCCCTGGGTGCACATTTCTAATTTTAGAGTTCTAAAGTAGCTCTTCTTGGGACTTAGATGAATTCTCTCACCCTGCAACTTAGGACCGAAGAAAAAATGAAAGGACTTTACCTTCCCTGCAGACATAAGGAAAGGTTGATTCATTTTGTTGAGAGATTAACTTGGGGTTCAAAGGAATGAATTGATAATGACGGGAAGTCCATATTGTAAAACTGTATTGCATAGCAGCACATTTTGAATACACCAAGTATAACCTGTTTGACAAGAAATATAGCTGAACATAATTTAAGTAATAGAAAAGGACGTGACCATTCATTCACCTATCCAGTTAGGCCCATTCACTTTCATTTCAATGACAAAACTGTTTTCAGTACTACATGTTATGTTTGGTTCTTTGTGAAATCTGTCTATATTCTTTCATCGTAATTTCTGCTATTTTGCCTCTTTAATCAAATATCTTTATCTTCTCTTTCAGGTACTTCCAGCTTTTGAGTTCCTAACTCTACTATTTACAACATTTGCTGAGTTTTACTCAGTGATTTATATCCTCCCCTGGTACTGTTCTGGGATGGGGTGGTTTTGTTTATGGGAGCTCTTATGCCAAGTTGTGAAAGAGTCCCTTCAGAACAGTTATGTATTTGTTTCTGCCAGGGTTTTTTGCCTCTTAAATATCCTGGGGCATTTGTGAATGATTATTTCTCAGTTTGTGGTTCCTGAATTATGCAGATATTGTAAATTTATGTCATGCAGGCCTGGGGTTTTTATTTCTCACAGGTACCTTTTGTTTGTAACCCCTATTCAAAGCCCCAGGCAAAGAACAAACTTCTCTACTTCCCCAGACTAGCAGGTGGGATTTTTCAGTCCCAGTGACTGGCAGTTGCTTAAGGCTTGAGGTTTTACCTAAGGGCTTAGTTCCTGCTCCTCTGCCTCACTGAGGCTCCAGGCCTTATGCTTGTGCCCTGAAACCCAGCCACTGGCTCCTGAGCCATATAGCCAGGTTATGAAATGTGGGAACGTTGCAATTTTTCAGTTTGTTTCTGGCACTGAGAATTTCCTGTTGTGCTTTTTTGTTTTTGTTATTGAGCTGGGCATATGGTTTATATAATTATTATTATATTTTATCCAGTATTACTATATAAAGGGAAGTTCAGTCAACAGTATTAGAGGAGGTCTTCTTGATGTAGTTTTTTAATGTAGATGAGTTGGTGTTGGTGGGGTGAGGTCTGGAGCCAGCAATCAAGAAAGAATTCTTGAGACCTCTTTGGTGCAAAAAGGTGATTTTATTAAAGCACGGGGACAGGACCCATGGGCAGAAAGAGTTGCTGCACTGAAGTTTTGAGGAATGGCTGATTACATACTTGGGAGTTGGGGGGGAGGTAAGGGAGAAGGGAAGTTTTCAAAAGAACATTTTTATGCTAATGAGGACCCACAGGATATTGAGACCTTGCCATTGTCAAGTTAAGGTGGTTTTTCCCTCTAGCAAATCATTAACATTAAGACACTTGGAAGGTTGTTATTCTCTGCCTATCACAAGTCCTTGTCCATTGGCTGCAGGTTACAAGGAAATTTTATTTTATTTACATTCCCTTCTACCTTTGTTTCCCACATCACTATGGATGGGTAGGTGATGTTAGGGCTCCAGGAAATTGAGTCTATGGGTCTATGGAAGTTGGTCTATTGATAAGAATGCTTTTTCCTTGTAAATCACTAAGACATTTGTAAACTGATAGAGGCTCATGTCTTGTGGGACTGTGATCTCTATTAGTTAACCATTTGTTTTTGTTGGGGTTTTTTTTCCCCTTTCCTTAGTTTGAGGGCAGCCAGGAGTGCCTGAGGAATGTCACATATATCCCACGTGGGAGTGGGGGTGGAGGTTTGCAGGGTGTCAGCTTGTGCTTTGTCCTCAGCTTGCTTTCTGTTCCCTCATCATTCTCATTTACTTTTCATGAAGAACATCAATGATCTCTGTTTTGCACCTGCCAAGCATTGCTTTCAGATTCTTACATTCCATATAGAAAGTAGCTTTTCCTAAAAAACAGAAGTCTGGTACCAACTAGCTCTTAAGAAAATATTTTCACACAGTACTCATAAAATGCAAAATTTTCTTATTTCATATTTGTAATTTCAGTTTTTCAGCTCTCTTTGGCTTTTATCACTTCCATGCTGGCTTATGGCCAAAGCTACTCATCTCCTTTTTTCTGTTTTGCCACACCCCTTCCTTTATGAAGATGATTACTGGCTCCCCTTTCTCAAATGTAATTCTCATTTCATTGTTCTCTTTGTCATCATGGTATCTTTTTATTTCAAATCCATACACATCTGCTTGATCTTCCTCCAACTGGTTTCCTTTTATTACTAAGTTAGTTCTTATTAGATTCAGACTCTTCACCTTTGGATGTTTATTTCACAAACTCTGCATCTTCTGTAATTAACATTTTCCCTGTCCTCCTCTACATCATTCTTCAGTCCTCTAGAGTCACAAGTATTTCTTATTCTTTGAATTCTGACTTAAATTCCCACTTCAACAAATATGTATTAGTACCAGTCTCTGCCCTCTCTAAAGTTGTACAAAATACTTATGTTTCTGTATCAGAAATATGATATCTCTGGCTATTCCCTTTCAGTCTCCACTCTTCCTCTCCCCAAATCCCACTCCTACACATAAGGGTGGGGTCTTGCCCTTTGTTTCCCAAGGGACTTCAGACCAGGATAATGTAACATCAATACATTTCTAAGAGTTTGAGGGTATTTTTCCTTCAAAATACAGCATTTTATGGACATTCACGGCAGAGCTCATGTGGGGCTTCAGCAATCCAGATCTAATTCTTTATATCCTTTGTCAGTGGGCAATGAAAATCATGTCTCCCAGTCTTCTCTGTCATTTCCAGTTCCCCTCTTCCAATTTCTGTGGGTCACTGTTTGGAAAAAAAGAAATTGCTTATTGACTTTATAAGGACAAGCAATAATGTACGGCATAGAATAATTTAGATTCATACATAGTAAAGAACCATTTTTTTTTTAAAGATTTTATTTATTCACTTGAGACACAGAGATACAGAGAGAGAGAGAGAGAAAGCATGAGCAGGGAGAGAGGCAGAGGGAGAGGGAGAAGCAGGCTCCTCACTGAGCCAGGAGCCCCATGTGGGGCTCGATCCCAGGACCCTGGGATCATGACCTGAGCCCAAGGCAGACACTGAACCATCTGAGCCACCCAGGCGCCCCAAGGACCATGTGTTTAAGAGAAACAGATTTTGCCTACAGTAATATAAATATGTTATAATATTAAGCAAAGCTGTTTATTTTCTTGATGCTATATATCTAAAATCTTTCTATTCTAGCAGAGAACCATTGCTCTACATTTGTGTAAATTTGAGTATCCATTCAGATGATTCTCCAAAAACAAAGCCTTTTAATCCCTAAAAGTTTAAGCCTTCACATTTTAGGGGAAAAAACAGGCCTTGCCACTTTCAGACAACAGTTATGCCCATCACTGCTCTTCAAGGATTTAAAATAATCTTATTTCAGACTTGGCTTGAGTCATCTTATTGTTATAAGTAATTCTATTGCTTCAAATATTGATGTATACTTGTGCTATGCCAAGTTCCAAACACTTTTGCTAAGTTACTTTATGTAACTCAGCAAGTATTTATTTATTTATTTATTTATTTATTTTTAAGTATGTCCACGCCCAGCATGGAGCCCAATGTGAGGCTTGAACTCACAACCCTGAGATCAAGAACTGAGCTGAGGTGAAGAGTCAGACTCTTAACCAATTGAGTCAGCCAGGCACCCCAACAATTCTTTTATTATCTCCACTCTATAGATGAAGAAGCGGGATCATAGAACTAGACTTTGATCACAGAGAAAAGCCAGGACTA